AGGAAATTCATTATGTGATGCATTGATTGCTGCTTTTTCAAAATCTGTAATAATTGTTGATGGTTTTAATTCAATATTATTATCTTTAGCGAAATTAATTAAATCTTGAAAAAATTGTTTATAAAGTTCTTCTGATTTATTAGTCATTAATATATATACGAGTAGTAAAATTCTAGAGTTATCTTCTGCACCAATAAGAGCATGAATTGTGTATAGTTGATAAAAAACAGTCAGAACTGTTTTAAAAGTATCATTCATAATCCAAAATCTTGCTTATAATAGATATTGAATATTTGTTTTTGTAGTAAATAAAAGAATTCTTTCTTGATTAATTTTTATATCTTTAATTAAAAATAAATCTCCAATTAAAGTATAATAAAGGAAATTGGAACATTAATCTCATCTAGAGTTTTTGGCTATGATGGTATTACTGTCCTTCTAATATGTTTAATTTTTATTTAAAGAGCATTTTGGGATGGCATATTAGAAGCAGTTTCTTTAGAGATATTTATAATGTTATTTGAATAATTTGAATAGGTTGATTTCTTGTTGTTAAAGTTTGTTGTTTAATATCAGCAATATTTTTAGCAATATTACTACTATTAGTTTGAGAAGCATGAGTATGATTGAAATATTTTTGAAGGTAGTGTGAACTATCATTAAGAATTGTTATTGTATAACCTTTACATTTCTCTGACTTTTTTTTTTCACAACACTAATAATAGGTATTTTTCAAAGTTTGCTCTTTTGTCATTAAAAAGCCATAAACTTTTATTTTATCATTTCCTTTTGAGAAGGTACGATTTCTACAATTTCGTAATTTTTATCCATTTTTATTATTTAGAATATATGAAATTAATATTTAGCAAAAGTATTTTATAAAAAGGATGAGAAAATAATTTTTTTTGCATTGCGAAGTTTAAGAGAAAATTTAATAGACTCAAGAAACTTCATTAAAACTCGTGATAAAACTCTTAAAATTGTTAAACATAATGCTTAAAAATTCTTAAAATGATCTGCATACTTTATGGATGCAGCAATAATATTCGGGATTATGATCATTCGGGATTATGATTATTTGAGATTTTGACCCTTTGAGATTTTGACCCTTCAGGATTATGATCATTTAGGATTATGACTTCGGGATCATGACCCTTCAGAATTTTGATCTTCGAAATTTTGTACCAAACCCATGTAATATAAAGTAGTAATTTGAAAATTTTAAATGATATTTAATGAATTTCATAAGTATATTTTAATATACAAGATAGTAGAAGTAATATGTAAAATGTTTAACCTATACTTGTAAGAAATCATAACGTAATTAATTTAAAAATATTTCTGAATCTTTTATTATTCAATTAGATTTGCAATATCCTATAATATTACAAATTGCAATTATTCAATAATTGTCTATTTGTGATTTCATCTTTACTGGCAACCTTACTTTTAATTTTTAATTTATAAATAAAATTTCAACTATTTAACATAATAATATATAAAATAAATTATTTAACTTTATTATAAATATAACTAACTGAAGTTAAAAATTTTTATTATGCAAATACCTAGGTCTAATATAAAATATATAAAATTAAAATTAAATAATACCTGAGTCTTAATTTAGATTAAATTTTTATACCTAATAAAATATTCAAATCTTTTAATATGAAAATACTCTCAAAAGGGAATACCTTAGGTAATGCTATATGGTAAAAACTTTCTCTAACAGTTTAGGTATAACTTTATTAGAAAAAGTTACACCTGAAATATTAGAGGCTTTATTATATTATAAAAAATAATAATAAAAGTTGCAACCAAACTAACAGAAGCGATTTTATTATCATTTGTTTTAATAAAGTCATCCTATTAGTTTAAGTATAACTTTTATTATTATTTTTTTATAATAATAGTCATCTCTAATAGTTCAAATATAACTATTATTATTATTTTTCTAATACTAACAGTTCAGTAGTACTATTTTTTATAATAATGTTACATCTGAACTGTTAAAGATTACTTTTTGACAATTCTGATTTGAATTTATTGTATTTTTAAAAGTTACTTCTAATAATTCAAATAGGATTTTTATTAGTTATTTTTCTAATAAAAGATACCTCAAAATTCAAAGGTATCATTATTAACTGAAACTTCAGATCAATCCAAAATTTTTAGATTGAATTATAATTAAAAAAAAATCTAAACTGATCTGAAATTTTTTAGATTGATTTATTTACAATCTAAACTGAAAAAATCCAAACTGATCTGAAATTTTTTAGATTATTTTTTTACAATCTAAACTGAAAAAATCCAAACTGATCTAAAAATTTTTTGAACTGTTCAAAACTTTAGTGTTAAAAGAAGAAGAAATAAACAAATCAGTATAAAATTCTAAACTCTTTTTTTAGTTAGATTAATTTTATGTTAATTTAAAATATTTATAATAGTTGATAATAAAAAAATTTTTTCTATAATTAAAATATTAATATTAATTGAAAAAGTATCATTTTAGACAAAAAGGATATCAGAATTATTTAGAAAGTGAAATCTGATATTAGTTGATCTAAATAGATGTTTTTAGAATATAATTCTTTACTACTATATACAAAAAGTATAAATAATAATGTATTTAGTAATAATAAATTGATAAAAGTAGCATACAATAATTTTTTCAATTTAATATTAAATTTCTTTTATTAATATTAAATGTACAGCTATTGCATAGTAACAAAATATTTAAATGTTTGGATGGTAAATGAGGATCATTATATTATTTGATAAATATAATGCTGAAATAAACAAGAGATACTAAAAAATTTAATTTAAAAATCTTTTTCAAAAATCAGAGATTCTAATATAGGAAAGTTATATATATTATTAATAGGTAGAGTCTAGATATTAGCCTAATTGTATTCCATTTAATATTATTTAATAACAAGTTTATATATCTATCTAAATCAGAAACTTCAATGATGAATTCAAGTTTGATTCTATTTGAATATATTAAATTAATAAAAATTTTTTTTTGCAATATTTTAAGCCAATTAGACAAAACAGACTTATATAATATTAAACAATTTCATTTAAGTTTAAAACTATAAATATCAAAGAAAAATTGTTTAACAGCTTGATTTGTAATAGGAACATAATTTTAAGATTTTCAAATATTTGAGATTCTAAGAAAAAAAAATATTTGTAAAAAAACTATTATAATATTTATATAATAAATTTTGATAATATTTTTAAGTAAAATCAAAAAACAAAATAACTATTTATTAATATTGTAAAGTATTAAATATTTTTAAATATCTTTATTAATTAAACAATATTTTTAATATCTATAATCTAGATATATATAATATATATCATATTTTAAAAAAAATTTCTTAATAAAATATCTAATCAAAATATCCAGATAATTTATAAAATATAATATAAATTTATAAATAAATATGTTTTTATAAGAGGAATTCAATAAACTAAATTATATTTTTTCATAATCATTAGATAATAAATTGTTTTAAATGTTTAAATATTTTAACTAAAATAATTTATAATTAATTAATAGTTAAATTTTATCTTTTATAAACAAATATCATAAATTTTTATAATTTTTAACTTTATATCTTGTTATTTTAAAAAAGTTATTTATTTAATATTATGTAATATTTCCTAAATTAAAAAAAAAATTTTAAAAGAAAATAAAAAAAATAACTACCTTTTTTATTCAATACAACTAATTATCTTTTACTATTTAAAGAATTAATTTTAAATTTTGACCAAAAAGACATTTGTATTACAAGTTAAATTTTCTTCTTTATAGGAAAATTTATTATATTATTATTATTTTATCTAGAATATCTAATAATTTATTTATGGGAAAAAAGAAAATCCAGATACTGCTAGTCAAGAAGAATATCCAGATCCAGACGCTAGTTTCGAAGGGTATCAGGGTTCTTTCTGTTGCTGATGTATATCTAACAGCGCTTGCTGTGTTAGGGTTGTTGTTGACGAATTTGTTGGGCTTCATTACGTGATCCATGGGATTAATGATGACTCGGGGTAACATCTTATTCTATCCAAGGCCAAGAGTTTGTACTTCGTAAATGTATATCCCGGATGTTGATGTTTCGACAAGATAGAAGCACAAAATAATAATCTCCTCATGCTTTCTTGACCAGGATTCCATTATTACCAGCTTTTGATAGGTTATATCTTTGAGATGATAACCTAATTTTTTTTTAAAATAAATAAATAAATAAATAAATTTAGTTAGATATAAAAATCTAAAAATGAAACAAAGTTGTTTTGACAAAATGTACTTTCAATTCAAAAATTGATCAATGGACACGGAGAATTAAACAAGCAAGTCAAAAGGATAGTGCCACCAAAAAACAAGTACTCTTCTAGACTCATTATATACCGTTTGGTTATTAAACATTAAGTATAAAATTAAATGAAAACTTACTTTTTGACCATCAAAGCAGAACCTTTTTTATAGCCATTTTCCATCATCGTTAGAGCTACGATATATACTTATTCACTTAAACAGTGAGAGCTTTCAACACGACGTTAAGAAAGAATTGAAATAATTGTAAGAAGAGTAAGAAATGAGGACTTGAAGACGTGAAATTTATATGAAAATATTTAGAAAAGACGAAAAAAAAAGTTATATGGGAATATTAAAAAAAAAAAATAACAATTATCGTGTAACTTACCCCGGCTTTATTGCTCAATTTTTTTTAAATTATAAATCTATGTAAAAAACAAAAAATTTTATATAGCTTTGTTAAAATAAATATACCTGCGTAAATTTATTTATTTATTGTTTCTAACTTTAACCTAATAAAACTATATAATTTACTTTATTGAGATTAGGGAAACTTAACTAAAAGTGTTAATTATAAACAAAATAGTATAATCATAAACTTGTAACTAACAAATATTAATTAAAGAATTTAGACTATTTATCCACCACTTTAAAACAAGTGAGCTTCTAAACAATTCTTG